CTTGACCCCCAGGAACCTGTTTCCTCCAAAAGAAAACCAAATCCCCAGGACAAAACGATTTCATGGGTCTCTGTCCAGCAGCTGTAGCGCGAGCAATTCTGGCTTCCGCTTGAAACTTTGAGAAGGCTTGTTCCGCAATGGACATGGCCTGAATGGTATCCTTGAAACCGCCATCTGCATGTTCTTGGGGGTGAATAGGATATCCCTGGATTCTGCTATCATGGAGTTTGCCCCATTCGTCCGGTGACCTACCCATGGCATGTTGAAGGGGAGAATAACCCAAATGATTATCCTTGGAGTTGCATGCCCATAATGCTCTGCTAAAAAGTTCTGTTAAGGACATGTCATGATACTCCTCGGCCAAGGCTGTCATCACCGCTTTGGCTTGCTTAGTGCGCCTCAGCCGGAATGGTATCTAGCTGTATTCCTTTGGTAGCGCACCAGTCCGATGCTTCGGTGTCCCGCCAGACACCCTCCCACGCAGCACTTCGGTTGCCCAAAATGGGCCAGCCAATGTTCCTCAAAAACCTGCTTTACCAGAGGCCAAGTGGCCATTTGTCTACTGTTCTCAAAAATTACCTTTCCGGACCTGAACCTACACCCCTCATCGATGAACAAAATGAATTTACATTTGTCCTTAGATTGGGGGTGGTGCCAGGAACCCATATCCGATTGAACAACTTGCCATTTTTGGGGAATCACCTCAAGTGTAGCAGGCCTACGGGGAGCCACCCTTTTTCTTTCATCACAAATGGGACAAGAGAAAGTTTTCGCAATGTCTAAAACATGTTGGGGGACCCCTCGCTTCTGTACAGCAACACCTCGATAGACCCATGTCCTGAAGTGCTGTGAATATGCTTTACCAGTTTCAGAATCCTAGATTTCTCCTCAGTAGATGTGTCCTGGCGGTTGACTGCGCAGGCTTCAGTGGTCTCCTCCGGACTGGAAGAAGAAACATCATTGACCTGTGCACTGAGTTCCTCACACACTGTTGACCAAACCTCATGAGCTCTGAGCGCTTCAACTACCTTTTTGGCAAAGACAGTGGTGTAAAAAGCTGACGTGGACGGACGACCCTGTTCACAAGCTACTTTACGATGATTCTTCTGACATGGTAAATGCATGTGACGCAAGAGGTTGGCATTTTTCGTGGCAATAGTCCATCCCTTACACATGAGATCCCCGGTGTCATGAGCCCTCAAGTTGACACTACAACCGTGTGTGGTCACTCGCTGCAGCTGGTGATCTTGTAGAAAACTCTGAATGAGAGGAAGTTTCCAAGCTTCACATCGCTCTGACAGTTCCCAGTGGATTTCGGACCCCGTTTTCTTACCATGATCAGCAACGGCAACCCCACCTTGATACTCCTTTATTGCATACTCTTGTTTGGTCTCCAGCTGTTGGATTTGTTCAGGAGTCTTTTTGTTAAGTCTTTGAAGGGGAGAAAAGGGACCACAATCGCATGAAATCCAAATGTGACAAGGGTGAAGTTCATCAATGACCTTGAAAATCTTGGAAATTCCTTCATTAGTGGTTAAGTCGTAGCCATTATACAGGGAGCATCTCATGGCTGAACCCGGTCCAAACTGTTTCTCGACTTCACTTGACAGAAGGCTGTCCGGACTGCAAGCAACTTCTAACAGAAACAGTCTACCAACAGTCTTGAGTTCACCCCATTTCGTGTTGTAGGGGTTATTTTCAATTTTCCAACCCCTGCCTATCTTGCGATGTCGGTCGAGACACCGTTGTTCCGGGTAGGAAGCCAATGCTTCTAGCTCCTCAGACTCAGAAAAGCTCACATCTCCTTGCGCATCTTGCTGCTCCCAAGGCGCAGCTCCAACTCTGCTTTCTCGGACTTGATCTGTTCGAGCTCTTGGGCCAAACGTTGGATTTGTTCTTGATCGCTGCTGGTCACTGCCTGGAATGAACCGTCGGAGGAATCTTCTGGAAGATGGTGGGATAACTTCCCAGGGCCCTGAATGTGATACCCCCCGATTGGAGGAGAAGGCGGCATGGGCTTCGAGCACAGATTCGGTGGGGTCTGCTGAATCACACTCCAGGTGGCAAGGCGACGAAGGCGCCAATGAGCATCCTCCTGGTTCTCTTCCGCAGTCTGAATGACCCACTTGATGTAACTGGGATTCTCCACAAAGATCTGGCCATAGGTCTTGTCGGCGAACTTGCCGAAGCCCACTTTGTCCAATGAGGTTCCTGGAACCTCCTGGTTGAACTTGGCTTCCACCTTGGCATAGATTCTGGCAATGGTGTCTGACTGCAGGATGGGCACTTCTTGTTTCTCCGCAAATTCGATCAGCGTGGCTTTCTTGCGAGAAGCCTTGTTCAGTTCTGTCATGCGGTCCTTCAAGGAGGGGCCCATCTGGTTCTTGAACTGATCCCTGAGCTCTGCCAATCGCGCCTTGAGCTGCAAGGTGCTGGACGACTTTGGCATAGTTTCGCCCAGCTCGGCGATCTTGGCATGCAGGAACTCCTTCGTCTCGGTCGGCATCAGGCACGCCAAACTTGGAGCTGCTGCTGAGCGTTGGATCACGCAAGTTGGATTGAGGCTGAGACGTCGGGAGAGAAACTTCCGGCTCAAGCTGACTACGTTGATCATTCATCACATCACCATCATCATCACACACATCAACAACATGTTCAAACTGAAGAGGACTGTGAAAGTGGCTGTGGCAAAAATTGCAAATGCCCGACTGTACAGATTGCAAAGTGCAAATACTGCATGTGTCAAACTCATGAAATCTACTTGGCGGTCTCCCTTGGGCTAGTTGTCCATTTTCCCCAAGGGAGCGTGGTCCCTATTCACTCAAGGAGGAAAAGGGTTCCTTGCGAATCTTTGCTCCTTTCAGGAGATCACCGCCTAAGGGCATGAGCAAGTGGCCATTGGATGCTGCTTCCAAAGGAACTACGCTACGTGGGCATACCTTCCGGTAAATGACTTCGTCATTTTCAAAATCCAAAACTGCACCTAAAGCCTTGAGCGCTTTGATGGAAATAAGCACTGGTTGATTCTCCACGTCATGCACGTGGACTTGGAGATTTCCCTTTCGGTCTCCGAGATCCACACCGAGAGCTACGGTGGAGATACACGACTTGGTGCCGTTGTTTCCAAATTTGAACACTGGCCTCACCTCCGGGTCCACTCTCACTCGATCTTCTCCATGACGCTGGACGTTCAGGGCCATGATCGACTCCAGTGCAGACACCGACCCCAATGTCGCTGTAGCTCCACAGTCGATGACCCCCTTGCCCGCCTTGATGGTTTGTGGGAGATCGAGGCCTCCCGAGGTGGCTGCAAAGGAAAGTTCTAAGCAATCGCCAGTTCCACTGGTGTCACTCTTCTCACAAGGCAGGATCCCTGCCGAAAAGGCTACTTCGGCATGCTCTTCAGCTATCTGAGCTGAAGGCCGCTTCACAGGGCAATTGTCCGTGGAGTGAGGGCCGCCGCACTTCAAACACTTTGACGCCGGCTTGTTCTCATTGCCCTTGGCATAGCCTTTGCCCTTTGAGACCGGATAGAACTTTCGGCCCAGTCTCATCTGACTTTGCCTCCATCTGGCCTCCTTCAGCGTCCGCTTCTGCTCCTGGATCGCAGCAAGGGCTGAGTCTACAATGGCTTGGTCAGCCCAGTAAACTTCTTCGGCCCATGCATCATCTCCAAAGTCCGGTGCTTCCTCTTCAGCCATGAGAGCCTGATCTTCTTCCTCCTCGACTGCAACGAAGGACTGGAACTTGGCCTTGTCCCGTTTGGCGAGGTCATCATCGCTCCATTGTTCCTTCAATGCTCTCTCGACTGATCTGACAGAGAAGACACCGCGGATGGCAGCCAGGATATTGGCTCGCTCATGAGCATCCAGTCCGCTCCGATGCAAGAGCAAGAAGCCACAGAGGTAGTCAGGCAAAAAGTCAGCCACATCAGTCTCCCAGGACTGTGGGGGCTGATACTCATCCGTCTTCCAAGACGACCAGCCTCCCCACGACCATCCCTGAGACCTCCAACCCCACTGGGACCAATTGTCCTGGCCGCCATCACCATCCTCGTCGAGCTCATTGAGGCGGCCAGAGTCATCAAAGACTTCATCCTCAGATTTTCTCTGAGGCTCGGCCGAATCCCACCAGCTACTGGGGCGGCTGTCACCTTGCTGGGAGGTTGTGGAAGAGGAACTTCTGGCGACAGGGGGTGCAACGGTGTACTCCTTTTCAACACGCTTCAAGGCCCGAGAAGCTTCCCAAAGGCTCTCGGAGTGCCGGTTGACCCACTCCGTCATGGTTTCTCCCCTCTTCCTCCTGAGCTGGTAGAAGAACTTCTGGATGTGCTGCGAGGCTTGCACAAGAGTCGGTTGCTCAATGGCTTGCTCCAAGAAGTCGATCAACGTGTAGGCTCCTCGCGGGTGAGCGAGCCATTGAGGATCCGTTGAAAGCTTTCTTCGGATCACTGTGCGAGCCACTCCTGTAAGACTTTGTGCCAGTCTGGGCCCTGCTAGATACCGCTTATGGATCTCTAGAGTGAAGGTGTATTCCAGCGCCTCATCTCGGTAAGTCGCCAGCTTCTCTGGTGCACCATCAAAGGATGGTATCTTCTGATGCTCTCCCATCCCTGGACCAAGGCCTGGCCTCTGGGCTCGGCCTCTACTGGATAAAACCCTGCCTAGTTTCTTAAGAACCAGGCTATCGCTACCATGAAAAACTCTCAAGGAGTCAGCACCCTGTGCACTGCTCCCTTTTACCTGCGAAGAGCCCACCAGCTGCACGGATTGAGATGTCGAATGAACAATATGTATGTATATGTATGTGTATGTATGTATATGTATGCATATGTATGTATATGTGCATGTGCATGTGCATGTGTATGTGCATGTGCATGTGCATGTGTATGTATGTATGTATGTATGTATGTATGTATGTATGTGTATGATGTATGTGTATGTGTGTATGTGTGTATGTGTGTATGTGTGTATGTGTGTATGTGTGTATGTGTGTATGTGTGTATGTATGCATGCATGCATGCATGTATGTATGTGTATATATATATATACATATATATATGTGTGTGTGTGTGTATGTATGTGTGTATGTATGTATGTATGTATGTATGTAGGTATGTATGTATGTATGTATGCATGCATGCATGCATGTATGTATGTGTGTATATATATATACATATATATATGTGTGTGTATGTGTGTATGTATGTGTGTATGTATGTATGTATGTATGTAGGTAGGTAGGTATGTATGTATGTACGATATGTATGATATGTATGATATGTATGATATGTATGCATGATATGTATGTGTGGTATGTATGTATGTATGTATGTATGATATGTATGTATGATATGATGTGTATGATATGATAGGATATGATATGATATGGTACAATATGTATGATATGATATGATATGAAATGATATGAAATGATATGATTTGATATGATATAATTTTTTGTATGTATGTATGTATGCATGTATGTGTGAATGGATGGATGCATGCATGCATGCATGCATGCATGTATGTTTTTTTAAATGTATATATACACTACATATATATATACATATATATTTATACATATATATATATTGCATATATATGATATATATATATATTATGTACGTGTGTGTGGAATGTAATGCAATGTAATGGGATGTAATGTAATGCAATGCAATGCATTGGTATGGTATTTTTGAATGAATATTGTGTATGTATGACAATATCACAGTATGATAGTATGATAGTATGATAATTAATCATAGTATGCAATGATAGCATGATTGTATACATGTGTATGTGCATTGCAAATTATACAAGAATACGTGTAAGTGTAATGACTTATAACCATATTGGTATCAACACGATGTGTTTTCATCATGTGAAAGCTGGAAGGTGTTCAGACCGTCCTCCTCCGCATTTCTGTCATCTCCAAAGTCTTTGTCGCTGGATAAATCCTGCCCACTAGCTGGTCATCTAGTGCCGCCGGACCGGAGAAAAGTTGAACAATTCTAGGGACGTCTCAGGATTGGGAACCCTCCTTAAAATTGGATCACTAATGCCACAAATAGATACAAATAATACAGTATCAAATAGTGGGCGGTTCTTTTGCTTTTTGGACTCCATAGCCATTTGTCCAAAGATCGCGAGAATATGCGAGAATGATTCAGGGATGGTAGGAACATCACGAAAAACCTGGTCACGATGGTCACTCAATTGTGAACAAAGGTCCTCCTCCACGCTCGTAAGAAGCTTGGGCAGCACTGACTCCAAAAACACCTCAGATAACACGCGGTCCACTTTGTGATAAAGTAAAGGCATCTCAAAAAGTCAATAATGCACTATTAGACTATTAGATATGTATAGATTTGAACTTGTGCAAGTCTGTCTGTATATTGCTTTTCCACACGGTTCCTGATCCACAACAGGACGGTCTCCAAAGCCGTATAAACACCGTCATTTCAGCCAAGTTTCGCTGGATCCATCGGTGTTGGCAATGGCCATGGATCTCTCGGACATTTCATGGGTGCCATTCATGCCTTTCAGCCTTGGGGCTAACGACTGCTGGGAGCTGAAACTCTTTTCAAGGCAACAGTTACAGTTACAGTATAAAATTATATGTGCGTTTCAAATGAGTTTTTAACATCATCTTATACATCTCATGCATCTTTCAAACCATGTCACCACTGTACTGTACTCTTCTGCCATGGCACAATGTGACCTCACAGCCTTGTAGCACTGCAATCAGTTCTTGGCACCGTGGTGCAGCGTTTTTGTCAGCGCTAGCTCTGGTTGCAAGCGATATCAAGGAACGGAGGCGGTTTAATGCCTCACTCAGCGCAACCGCCACGAAAAGGCCAAAAACGGATAAGACTGGATAGCATGTAACAACCAACATCAATGAAACGTGCTAGTAACTGCTAGCAGTCACCAAACAACAGGGGGGAATCATTATTGATTGCATAAAACTGGGGTAATGCTTTCAGTTGCTCACCTGATGGGCAGTGCACATTTTGTCATCACGATCATTCATTATCTAGTTCCACTACTTCCAAGTCACATCGATAGCTCTAATGAGTAGTGGAAAGAAGGCAGACTTGGCATCTGGGGTTTAGCTCTTGGAGGCAAGGATCCAGCTGTGCCTGAGAGCACTGATCATCGAACTCCTGTCGCAGAGCTTTTGGCCATCAGACAACCATAATCGTTCCGCAATACTTACAGTACCCTCAAGCATTGTACAAAAGAACAGTTATGTAATACAATTTGCGTGCATGCATGTACTACAAGTATATATGTGTGATATTATGATATTATATGTATACATATACAATCATATATATATAATGATGATGTATGCTCTTGTATGCCACAGGCAGTGATATCATGTGATGCGGCTTCCAGTTGCAGCGAGGCCTGGTGGAGCCTTCGCCTGGACGCCAGAAGCTCCTGAGAGCGCTGGGCCTTGGCGGCCGAGCTATGGGCATCCCATCCGCACGAAGTCCTTGGAGGCCAAACTTGGGCTTCCATTCAGAAATTCACATCACTGTGAAATACGGTATGGACTTATAATATATTATATTATATATATATATACATATATCTCTATGTTTGAGTGTGATTGTATACGTATGCATACATATATACAATTATATATATATATATGTGTGTGTGATTTGATATGACAATATAAAATATATGAAACACATGTGCGCATCATTGTATCCATACAATTGAATACGTATCTTTCCTCACCCGTTGGGCCTCTGAATGATCAATGTTATCAAATGTGTTCATGTCATTTTAGTTCTGCTCATGTTCAATGATGTTCATGCCGTCATGATATTTCGGCATAGGGATATTTCTAGCTTCTGGCACAAGAATGGTGAGATGCCAGACCTGCATCCTTCTGCTGTAGGATCATCGATTGAAATGCAGCACAGTGGCGAATCTGGCTGCTTTGTGAGCCGGGCGAGCTGCTTCAGATTGAAGTCAACTCTATCCTCGGCCTTAGACAATAGAAGCGGCAACATTCCACGGAAGATCATGGAAGCAAATGAAGCAAAAATCGAAGCAAATCGAAGCAATGGCATTCTCGGCATACAGCTTGACAAGGCGCCATGATGGATTCATGACAAGGAAAAGGAAGAGTTGCCCCAAATTGAACCAAGTTGCAAAAATGAGATCTGCTTCTGACGCGTCTTTGGCGTTAGCAGTGCGCATGGCATTCACTAAAAGCTGGCGTCCTCAAGGCTGAGAAACAAGAAGGAGCTTCCATGTTTGCAAGTGTCGGCAGTGCTTCAAGCCCTAAATTCCCCAATGGCGATGAGGTCTGACGATGGTCGCTGGTGCGAATGAGTGAAAAATGTGTTACTCCCTCTTGCTTCCGCAATCTTTATCCAGTGAGGCCACTGACTTAGTTATTCGATGTTATTCGTCGACGTCGCTTCCATGATAGTGTTTTTCTGGTTGTGTCTCACGAATGCTCAATTCATACTGTACTGTAGCTGTGCGGATAAGGGCGGGCCAAGCCAAGAGTCGCTGTTGCCTTCGCAAGTGCAGGCAGGTCCTACAAATTGCTCAAGGGAGATCAAGGAAGTTTGATTCCGAAACGACAATTGTAGGTGTTGCCTCCGTAATGCCTCCGCTAAACACTTACCTGATTGTGAAACTCTGCACATCTCTGCACGTTACTTTACCCCAAAAAAAAAACGTGGCTTGTCCTGAATAGCTGCGCCTCTCGAAGAGCTTGGTCATTGCCTGTCCCTTCCTGTGCTGCCATTCTTGAATCTCTTGAAATGTTAGGAAAATGTTCCATCCAAAATGCAACTGAGTAGAGCTGCACAAACAAAGCAGCTTGGGATATCCGCAGCCGGGCAAGGCTCAGGCTGCTCAGTATGCAATTTCTTGATCTGCAGCTAAGATGCTTTCATGGCGCAGCTTGCTGGGCAAGTTCTACATGTAAAGTTGTCTATGTTGAAGTTGTGATGATGTAACGATCTGTCTAGGGCCGTGTTGGATCTTTCTGTTGATTTTTTCTTGAATTGAGTACCGTAGCAGCTAGCTGAATCAAAGGTGTGACGTCATAATTTTGTCCCGTCTTGTCTGTTTTACGTCGAAGCTCACACAAGTGCTAAGCTTCGTCAAGAACCCAAATGGCAGTCAAGATGCTTGTGATCTTGTGCACAACACCCTGCACATGTGTTTGCAATAAGGTTTGTTTTGTGTTTTTTCCATGTTGCCAAGCTCATAAATTGGCAAATCAGCCTTGATGTCAGATATATCTCAAAAGACCCAACACGGAGGGAGCAACTGGCTGCATTCCTTGGAATCTCAATGATCCTCTCAGATTTCCTGGGCATCCGACAGCCTTGGCTTTGCCAACGTTCAGGAGTAGCTCCTTGGCAGAAAGGCACTTCAAAACCACAAATGGCCACCCCAAGCTATCCAAATAATGTCAGAGTCATGCAGCTATGACATGACGTGTATGCGCACGTGTGTTTAAAGTTGAGAGTCGATCTGTCTAGCTATTCTGTGTAAGTAGCTATCCTACACCTGTTTATGACTGTGTGGATCTGGCTTCCGAACTTAGTCTGACTGCTCTCCGAATATCAGCCCCGCAGAATGCAAGAAATATCAGCTGGGGCTGCCAGCTGACAAGGCAATAAACTCGTCAGCCTCCAACCTCCAAAACCAAACCAACAGCATCACACGGATATACACTGTTCTTGCCACTGTTGTTGTTAAACTGTTCTACCCGAAACTCCGAATCTGGCCTCTTCGCGTCTTGCTCACGGAAAATCTCTATAGCGGCCTCCAGGCAATTAGTGTGAGCAGACAAATCTCAACACAGTGCCGCGTCAGTGCTGTTGATACATGTCTGTGTCGTTTGCCTGAACTGCTTGCTCGCCGGCAGTTACTTTGCCGCTCGCCTTGGAGACGAGAAAAAACAGCAAACTCAACCTTTTGACTAGGCTCCGCAGGAAAAGCATCGAAAAACAAACGCTTTTGAATTTTGAATGATTTTGAATGTCTTCGTCCATGACATTCCATGGCGATTGAGCCCCGCACCAAAGAGCAGCGGCCTCCGTCTCGAAGTGCTTTGGCTTTGTTGAGGCTATCACCTAACTCCTGTCCATTCATTGGTCAGTGCGCAATGGCAGCTCATGTAGACTCTGGCCGGACTCTCGCAAGCTTGCATTGTTGAAGCGGACGTTTGGAATCTTTTCAGCCATGTCGCCAAGCTCTCTGGTCATTTTGGTCAAGCTAACCCAACGCCCCCACATGCCCTCACTGGCATTCAATAGACGGGCTACAAAAAAAACAGTGCAAAGCAGTTGAGTTGAGGTGACACTTGCGTTCAAGAAGCACCTCAGGATGTCCACTTTTTCCAGGATTGACTGCAAGGAACTTTTCATGGACCTAGCTACTTTCTCCCTTGCATTCTGGAGAAATATTGAGTACAGGTACAGGACACTTTCCTGGACATGATCACTGCATATTTGAGCCTTTGTGGTGCGTGCGAGCAAGCTAGAGTGAGCTTCCAACAAAGTTCCACTTGATTCCACTTGCATGTGGCATTCCCACTTGTGTGAAGGGTACAAGCGTGACCCTGTGCAGGCTGATCCCACTCATCCCCACTCCGTGCCAGAAGGACTGCTACAACCAAATATATTAATGCCTAAACTGCAGAAGCGTGTGCTATAAGTGCTATATATATATATTATATATATAATCCCTTTTGCCATTGCTATTTGCTGTTGCTGTTCCGCTGCCCAAAAACAAACATGCAAACAAACACACATGCTAGCGTATATCAAATGCCAATTCACATTGAGGCACGTCGCTGCTGCTTTCAGACTTTCACCAGCACAAGGTACAGTCTCGACCTCACTCTCAAAGTTGTGGGTTTGGCTGGCTCCAAGGATGCAAACGCCTCAAAGAATTGCCGCAACATGATGCTGGGATGGAAACAATAGGAGCGTTTCAAGTATCCTTTCTCTGGGTTTCAAAGGAACTGGGTTTTTTGGGACGCGATGCGTGGTGGACAATCATGCAATCTGCTGGTGTTGAAATGCCAACTAGTGTTGAAAGGATCATCCTGAGCAAATATTGCTTTAAAATTCTTTCAGCTTCAGTTGATTCAAAATGTATGTGTATGTGTGCTTCGGCACAATATGAGTTGAGCATACTGCGACCCTCCCTGCAGATCCATCGCGGGCCTTCGTTGTGGGTACTCCCTCGCATTTCTGTAGCGTGGCACCAGTTGACGCAATTGTCTCATTGCAGATGCTGGCTGCCAAACTTGCATACTCGGAGTCGAGAGCGGCATCAGCGGCGCTGGCTGCAGCTGGCCCATAGCACTGGGGGCTTCTAGTGGCACACGGCCACAGGCCTCCAGGATCTGTTCAGCCTAGCCGATTGCCGTAGCAAGTCACAGCGTGTCCAGCTTGTGTTCGCTGGAAACGGTTGTATTTCAAAGGGAAAAATCTAGATCCAATGGATGGATATTTCAGGGAAGCACAAAAAAATGAACATTTTGATAATTGTTGATGAGAAAATGTTGATAAGAAAATCGATGAACATGTGGCCAGCCATATCTGTTATCCCGTTATTCCCTCAACCAAGTCTTGCACAACAACCCACCTGTTGGCCCAACAGCCGCTGCTGGGTCTCTCTGGCAGCTTCCGCATGCATCAAGGCCTGCATGGCGTGATTCACCTGCAACGCCTCATCTTCCTGGCAACGGAGCATTTGGTTGGCAGAGACTTTCTACTTGAAACACTATGTGATCTATGTGTTATATGTGGACGTTCACGGATTTTACCTGATTGTGCTGTCAATACCAGTAGTGCCGCACAAGGTGGTGGCGGAAGTTTCAAAAACAGGAAACCTATAGGAGAGGTTGGTTGTTGTGTCACGGATGGCAGAGCGAATCCACTGCTGGACCGAAAGGTGGTTGGAGCTATGTTTTTTGGAGTGGCTGCAATGGTTGTGGTCACCTTACCACAATTGCTGGATGTAGTGTGGTGTAATTAGTGCAGTTGTAGTTCTAGTTGTAGTGTAGTGTAGTGGAGTTGTAGTTGCAATATAGTGTAATGAGCGTAGTGTAGTTGCAGTTGTAGCTCTGGTGTGATGTAATTAGTGTAGTGCAGTGTAGTGTGCTGTAGTGTTGTGTGCTGTAGTGCGGTATAGCGTAGTCTAGTGTAGTGTAGTGTAAAGTAGTGTAGAAGTAGCTGTAGTGTAGTGTGATTAGCGTCGTGTTGTGTAGTGCAATGTAGTGGTAGTGGTAGTTGTACTTGCAGCTGCTGTTGTAGCTGTGGCGTAATGTAATGTAATTGGTTTAGCGTAGTGTTGTGTAATGTAGTGTAGGTGTGGTTGTTTTTGTAGCTGTAGCGCGATGCAGTGTAATTAGTGTAGTCTAGTGTAATGTAGCGCAGTTGCAATTGTAGTTGCAGCTGTGGTTGGTAGTGGTAGTGGTAGTGGTAGTGGTAGTGGTAGTGGCAGTGGCAGTGGCAGTGGCAGTGGCAGTGGCAGTGGCAGTGGCAGTGGCAGTGGCAGTGGCAGTAGTAGTAGTAGTAGTAGTAGTAGTAGTAGCCGTAGTGGTAGTAGCCGTGGTAGTAGCCGTGGTAGTAGCCGTGGTAGTAGTAGTAGCAGCAGTAGTAGTAATAGTAGTAGTAGCAGCAGTAGTAGTAATAGTAGTAGTATCAGTAGTAGTAGTAGTAGTAGTAGTAGTAGTACTAGTGGTGGTAGTAGTAGTAGTAGTAGTTATTGTTGTTGTAGTTGTTATTGTTGTTGTAGTTGTAGTTGCAGTTGCAGTTGTTGTTGTTGTTGTTGTTGCTGTTGCTGTTGCTGTTGCTGTTGTTGTTGTTGTTGTTGTTGGTTGTTGTTGTTGTTGTTGTGGTTGTTGTTGTTGGTGGTGGTGGTGGTGTAGGTTTAGGTGTAGTAGAAGTTGTAATTGTAGTTTAATTAGTGTAGTGTGGTGTGCTGTAGTGTAGTGCAATAAAGTGTAGCGTAGCGTAATTAGATGCAATTAGTGTAAATGTAGCCTAGTATATTTGCATTTGTAGTTGTGGCAGTAGTGTAGCGTAGTGTAGCGTAGTGTAGCGTAGGGTAGTGTAGTGTAGTGTAGCGTAGCGTGGTGTAGCGTAGCGTGGTGTAGTGCAGTGTAGTGTAGCGGTAGTGGTAGAGGTAGTGGCAGTGGTAGTTGTAGTTGTAGTTCTAGTTGTAGTTGTAGTTGTCTATCTATCTGTCTGCCTGCAAGCTTCAAAACGAAGCTATTCTGCGAGACTTCCTCAGTTTTTTAACTTGACAACATCAAAAACGCAGCAATTCAGCGAGTCTTCCTCGATTTTTGAATTCGACACCGTCAAAAACGAAGCAATTCTGCAAGACTTCCTCATTTTTCGAAGTTGATAACATCAAAAACGAAGCAATTCTGCGAGACTTCCTTCAAAAATGGAAAGCTGAGTGCAGAGCTGACGGCCTCGTACCAATGCGCTTGTGGTTTTTGATTCCATGTGTCTTAAGTACTGCGCATGTCACGAAAAAGTGATGCCAGGTCATTCAAAGTGCTGCACCTGCCACACAAAATCATCTTCCCAAAACTGAAGATCTGATGAATCTGATGCTCCAAAATGTAACCCGTCTCAGGAAATCAGCGCCCTGATCTCCTAACATCTCTGATGAACATGTCTCTGGTACTGCGCCTGCCACACGAAATGCATCTTTCCAGATCCTCTTCAAACGTCCCACGCCCGCCATCGCTTTTGAAACTGCTACAAAACCATCACGTCTTGATCACTTTTGACAAGGTGCACGATCCCTTGCGCCTGCCATGCGAAACGACATCTGAACGTCCACAAGTGCTCCGAACAGGTCGGTTTTGTACACTTTTGACTTGGAAATGTGCTTGGCGCCACAACGGCGTGCACTTTTTTGACATCGCAACGTCCAAAAGTGTTCCGACATTGGTGTGTTTTTTTACGTTTTGACGTCGAAATGTGCTTCGCGCCACAACGGCGTGCTTTTTTTCGACATCTCAACTTTTAAAAGTGCTCCAAAGCTGAGGTGCCTTGTGCATTTTGACTTCGAAATCTGCTTCGCTCCACAACGGCGTGCATTTTTTCATCTCTCATCTAGCCAGGATGGCTCCGCATCCGCCGCTTTAGCGAGCCTACTTTTCGGCCCTCCGGAGCCACACATCATTGGAAAAACACAGTGTTTCGCGACTTTCCTACCTTTTCGCGCACCTGGATCTTCTTTCTTCTGACTGTCTCTTCTTTGATCCTCTTTCTTCTTCTCTTCTCTTCTCTGACTCTTCCCACCTCTGCTATGTCATGTGTATCGCCAAAATCATCCGTCAAACATCCTCAAACTCATGGTTGGGAATTCCAGACAGTGTCTAGGGCGTAGACGAAGCAAAAAAATACAAAAAGCAATGCATATGTTTGCATCCAAGAACCTTCCTTTTTGCTTCAAGTGCTTCTCTTGCTCCTTTCATGTCTCTCGCCCTTCTCGCTTCCTCAGTCTCTTCATCCTTGGAAGCTTCGGGTCTTTCAGCAGTAGGTTCTTGATCTTGCGCTTCATGTTCTGCCAATATGGCCTCCAATCTGGATAGTTCGTCTTCCCCTTCGGAGTCTTGCTTTGAAAGCTCCTTCGGCTGGGAGTTGACATCCTGTAGCTCCTTCGGCTTCGGTTCTTTTCGCTCCTTTGGCTCCTTGCGCTCCCTTAGCTCATCCTTGGACTCTCTTCTCTTGGCTGTCTTCTCCGTCTTCTCAGTTTTCTCCTTCTCTTCCTTTTTTCTCTTTTTGGGCCCTGGTTCCGGGTCGTCATCAACATCCTCTGGGTTTATAAGCCGATAGATGAGCTGCACTCTTGAGCCGGAGTCTGGCAGACCAGCTGTTTGACACAATTCTCTCAATTCACTCATCTTCAGACTCCGCAGAATCAACAGGTCCAGCTCCAGCTCGTCTCGATCCTCGTCTTCCTCGTCCTCGTCTTCTGGCTCAAGAGGTTCCACGGTATCATCTGGGCCTTGCTTTCCTTCTTTGTTTTTGTCAAGAACAGAGCCATTCTCACCGACCGTCTCAATAGGTTTGACATCCTTTCCGAGGCCCAACTGAAATGCGAATGTTCCAGAAACATCAGTTGCAGAGATGTAGCGCATGGTATTCTGGGACTTGAACATCAAGCGCCAGCCAGGAGGATGGTACTTGACCTTCCCATGCACTGGCACTATCTTCTGCACAGCCTTTGGAGGTCTTGAATACTTGATCAGCAAAGGGTACCGAGCTTGCAGCTGCTTGACAGCGTTTGCCTCTGCTACCTCTCTGGGATGCCGCAGAACCTGCTGCAGATATTGATGGTTAATCCGCACATTCTCGCATCCACAAAGCATGCTTTATCATTTCATTTTTTACCATGTTATACCATATTATCCCATTCCGACATCGCAAGAATGACAAGGAAAGATAGTGGCTAAGTCAAAGAACTAGCATCAGATGGTATTATTAATTATACAATATAATATTATATAGCATGTTGCGGTGCACTAGCTGATGCAGCATCTGATGCAACCACAGAATGCACAAATAATGACTGGCAGGACATCTATGGAATATACAGGAAGTGGATACAGCACTGCCTGAAGCTCACAGGCCCCCAAGCTCAATTGCCCGGTGCCTTCTCGTCCTTTTCCTTCTGAGCTTCAACTGAATAATCTATGAAGGCAGATGCACAACCGCCACGGCCTTTGTTGTCACTTTTCACGCTCAGAAAATCGCACCTCATGCAGGAAAGCCCGCGGCTGTAGAAGTGAAGGACCCGCTCATAGTCCTCCATGACAGCCACGGTCAACTGGACATCACCTTGCACTGTGGTTGCTGAGGCTAGCTGCGAGAAGATTCCTGATGGTTGCACTAATGTTGTACTTGTATTACATGTTGTACTTAACTGATTAACTGTGGAAATAATATTACATTGAAAGGACGCAGCATGCGTGATTATTATCGGGCGAGGAATTATGTGGGGCTTCAACCCAGTCAGATCAGTTCAGCCATTTTCTAAGCGAGGGAAAGCATCCAACACATCAACAACACACCGTGGCGCCTCGAACAAGAATCGAGGGATGAGGCCTTCGTATTCTTTTGACACTACTGAACACTAATTACATGTGCATGCCATGCCCCTTGCCAAGAATGGAATGTGTGGCCGTCAAATCGTCAAATCTTATGTGGCAGACCCGATGGCGATGATGGAGAGCGATGGGCAATGGAGCGTGCCTCCTGCTACAAACCCCCGCCTGGATTGTAGTAGCCCTGCATTTGTCCCGTGCTTTTTGCGAGGCCCAATGTGTAGGTCCTTGACAGCATGTAGGTGTTTGGCGTGGGGTAGATGCCCCACAACTTGCACCTTTCCCTGTCGGCAATCTCCCAAATGTGGTCGATGATAAACTCCAAATTTTCTTCTGGCACGGGGACCGTCCTAGCACTTCGATCACTTCTCAGTGCCCCAGTAGTTGTCAGGAGGCATGAGATATCATCGTCCATTTCGACAATGCGGTCTCCAGGCTTGAAGTGCTCCATAATGGCATTTCTCTGATTGCAAATTCCTTTCCGACCTTTCACCACTTGTAGGCCCAACGGTTCCAGGGCTTCTTTGTAGGTGGGGAACTGACCAGGATCTGCAAAAACAAAAATCCGAGCAGCCGAAATGCCGGCAGAAAGCAACAGTTGCACGGTTTTTTTCCTCAGGGAGTCCACCCGATCATATGTTGGAATTGCCACCACCCAGGACATGGCAAAAGCATTGCAGAAACTGGGGTGCTAGCGGGATTTGTCGTTTGATGCCCCACTGGGCCAAGTTACTGATGTCTGAGGTGTTGCCACTTGGAAGCATCATGAAGCATCCAAACCAAGGATAACAAGCGGCTGCACTTTGAATGTCTTTGAATGCTCTTTGACTATCTTTAAGTGTTGTCGTATGTTGTCGTAGTGGGCTCAAATGCTGCAGAGAGAAGCAGGGGCAAATAAGAACAATCACCACTTGACAAGAAGGTCTGGACAAGGAGCAATCGATGCTGTTCAGTTCTATCTCCACATCGGCAAAACCGCGATGACATGTGATGACTATGGAGGACTATCCCAAGCAATGCTGCATCGTTGAGGAACTCTCATGCCTCGAAGACTTTCAGAGCAGCATCTGCTGCGGACTTGGCTTCGATGAGCGCTGGCCGCCTCAGCAACTAGAGATGACTAGAGGCTGAAGGCGGCTGGTCTCGGCTGGTCTGCACTGGTAGAATATCTCTCTCTTCTTCTCTGTTCATCTTGTTTTTGCGTTGCACATCACACGAGTTCCTGGGGATTGTGCATCATATACGTCTCGCTCATTGCTAGAAGTGCTAAACCTTCCAGCCTCAACACATGGTTGTACCAAGATTACAGCTGGAATCTAGGGTTTCTAAGTTCGTTGTAGTCACAAAAAATATAAAAAGCATCCTCATTTGCAATAAGCGCATGGGTTCAAACTTCTTGTCGCCCACATCGCGCAGCATGTGAAGGGCCTGGCAGTGAAAACGGTAAAATATGTAAAATGTCACAACACCCCCCGACCTTGCCCTATCTGGCATTCGCAGTAACGGAAACAAATCCTTAAGAACTGAAAGGATCTGAAAGGTCGCCAATGAAAATAAAGTGGACACAGCATTTGCAAAGGCGTCAGATTTCTCAAAGCATGTGACAGCACCAGGCTACATTCCACGAATCCAGTCAATGCATCCATGGTATCTGCTTTTCACGAGAGCGCATTTAACATCTGCAGACTGGTCAAATTCAACCCTGAGTCGGCACGTTCATTCCATGCACAGGCATGTGCCCGCCAGCAGGTAGACCAGCCGGTTGCACAGGCACTTGCACAATGTGATTGGCTTGCATTTGCTGCATGCCGTTCTGCGCCATCATTGGCATTCCCATCTGCTGATACGGCTGCCTGCGGTACCCTGGGGCATAGACAGAGAAATGGATTCTGGACAAAAGGACTTTGGCCAAGGTGCTGGCCCCGTCCGTGATGCCGTAGCCAGGGAGATGCACCTCCAGAGGCGAATAGGCTTATCATATCTTATCATTGCTGGGACATGCTGGAACAATGAGGCAGACTCTACCGCAATCGATATAATTGTGGCACACATCCTTGCCGTGGCTAGCGGCTAGTTGTGGCATGGTGTGGCTAGATGCACGCACAAGCAAGACTGTTTGCCCCACTTTAAGGACACTTCTGAGTTCACAAAAAGGACAGTTCATGCTGGATTATGTTGATTAATTATGTTGATTATGTTCGGATGTTTCTTTTCCTACTAATGTTTGATTTCATTGGATTTCATGCATTGGGTGCTGATTCTGGTCATGACCAAAAAACTGAATCTGCTGCCCACGATTTACGTGGGGGTTGGGGCTCGCAGAGGCGGAGGGAATTTTCCTATCGTTCACGGGCTTTTCGTGAAGCTCTGGGCAAACCATGACCCCGCACTTGCCAGACTCTAAAGATTCTAAAGATTCTAAAGTATCCCCTGAGGTCACTCGTTCCTCACCTTGTTTATCCTTTTTCATTTGTGGAGTGCCGATATACTATGTCTGTGTCAATATGTTCGTCTTGGTGGCCTGAACGGCATCCGTCTCTCCCCTGATTGCCTGCCTTCCCAACCGTTGACTGGTGAGCGCCCTCCATATTGGAGAAGAGAACCGACTTTTGTCGTCCACTCTTGGGCATCTCCACCTCCCGCGACTTGGATGGAGCAGGGCCTGCACCTTGCATTGAGCAAAAACAAATCAAAACAGGCTATTTGCATCTATTTGCTTTCACAAGCCATTCTGACGGCAACTAGATACTTGGCCCCCCGACACCATACTGCACCTACAGAGCTCGCTGGCGACTCTGTAAAGCGTGTGACACGATCACGGACCAAGTCTATGCTTCCAGTGGTCGGAACCATGCGGATATTTTTGGCAGGCCGCGCAGATGCGGGAGATTTGCCATTGACAGCCGGAGCTGTCGAAGCTGTGGAAGCTGTGGAAGCTGGGGCAGCTGAGACAGCAGACCCTTGCAACTTTGGACTCAGCTGTGACTGACTGGAAGCGCTTTGAGCTGCCTGGGCTGCTTGAGCTGCTTGAGCCGCTTGGGCCGCTTGGGCCTCTAGCTGCTCGTGACTCTTTCGAAGGGCCTCAAGCTTGGAACGCAAATCCTCCACTGTGGCACGGCTATTTTTCAGCTCTTCTTCCAATTCGACTTCATGAGCCTTCACATGTTTCAACTCAGCTGCTGCAGCAGCATTCGCAGCACTGGCATCAGCAGCAGCCCTTTGCAGCTGCTCTACTTGTGCCTTGTATTGCTCCGCTTGGGATCTGTAGTGCTCCACTTGCGCCCTGCTTTCTTTCAGGTGACCTTGCTCTTCCTGAAGCAAGCTTCGCGCTTTGTGAAGCTCGCCTGCTACCTTGGCACTTTCCTTTTTGATGAGTTTGTGCCGCTGTACTTCCAGATGATGTTCTGACATTTTCTGGTCCTTGGCGGCTAGCCGATTGCGAAGCTGCCTCAATTCTCGCTTGCAGCTGCTGAACTCATCCTCTCTCAGGGGATCTCTTAGATAATCCTCACAGTTGTCCATGGCATCGGAGCATTCTGATGCTGCATCGTTGTCATTGATGGGAACCGGCGGAGTCGTTGAAGCTGAGATGCAATGCCCCTCGCGTCCTTCGTCCATCAGCCCCGGCCCGGCCAAGCCCGGAATGCAGGCTCTGTTGCCTAGTGCCGGCCGCAAAAGTTTCAGCCTTGGCAAATGAAGGCCATTAACAGCCGTGTTCTAATCTTACAACTTGCAACTAACTGAGAGCCGGGAGCACAGGACACGCATCAGGGTCATGAAGGAAAGTCAACTCGATGTGAATTGTTTTCAATAGACGTCTGCAAACTGAGTGCTTGTATGTGCTTGTCTACGACTACACGTGTCTATACATGTTTCAAAGGGGTGCTATTTGGCCTCCTCCAAAGGCTTTACATCTGGAAGAGGCCCACCAGCAAAAGGCCTCCGAGCTGTCCGAGCTGGGCCCCACTTTGCCGCTTGCAATTGCTCAAGATATTCCGCCCTGGCTGCCATTGCCCACTTCAACAAGGCGGCCTGCTGCACTTGCTAAGGGCAATCTCTGCTAAGGAAATCCTAAGTATCAAAGGGACAGCCATGGAAAGCCCGATGATGTTGGTCAGCTCTGATCCATGTATGCCGATGCGAGAAGTGATCCAATGCCGAAATGCTAAGCCTCTTGCAGCATAGCAGCCTCTCCTCGCTTGTTACCAGCCTGCCAATAATGATACATAAATATAAACTTCTTTGCTTACGTTTTTTGGGTGTACCATACTTCCAAAGAGTCGAACTTGTCAAACAATACTACGCAAGCAGAGATGCAGTTCGTGTGATTTTGTGGAAGTACAGTTGCCGAGATAAACCTTTTTACATTGGATCCCTGCATATGTTTGTGCTGCGTTCAAATTAGTCCAAGCAATGCCAAGCATTTTAGATAAGTGAAACCATTGTGGCAAATTCATGGTGAAGCCGAAATCCCACAACAAGAAACGCCTTAGCAAAGTTGTTCTTCTCCTTCTCCGCAATCTCCTGAACTTCCGTCAGTTCCTGCAAGGCATGTGAACAGCGGAAAGCTCCTGAATGCCTATGCTTGTCCTGCTTTACTGTGCCCCAAGATGTGACACACTGGAGGCCAAGCTCAGGAAGTAACTTAGAAAATATATGAAAATATATATACGGTAATTGTTGACATGTTTTGACTGTGTTTTGAGCTTTCTATCCTATCTCATTCTATCCCACATTCCTAGCCCGATTCTCTTCCAAACTGCAGCCAAATCAGAATTACTCGAACCTGATCAAGTTGGACTGCGAGCATGCGCTTGCCATCAATCATCGCACGCAGCACATCTGGTAGCGGGCCCCTGTCAAGCTTGAAGCGATTGAAGCAGAATCAAAAAGAGCGAAGTTCTTTCTTTCAAACGTCTTGTCGCTGGGGTAAGTGCTCTCCATCTGACCCGATTCCGCGCAAGATCTCCAAAGCCTCATAGGGGATCATGTCTCACCCTAGTCAGCCAGGGCCATGTCAACAATAGCATTGCCGCATCCTACACGTCCCTCCAATCTCCTAGATTGAACACATGGGTTTCAACAACACCCAGACCCTCCCAGACCCATCTTGTTGAGATGTCGACAGCTGTTGAGTCCTGCGGCAATTCAAACCTATCACACCTCACACCAACCTACAAGAAAGGCCAAAAGCTAACTGAGCAGCCCTTGCCTTCAAGCTCTCTTCTGCTTTCCCTGCCTAACACCAAGAACCATGCAGACATTGACATGCCAAGACCAACTCAAGGCCATAGAAGATCATATGATCATTCCGCAGGAATTCATGTAGATTCAAGTCCAAGTGCAGTCGACGTAGCATGCCAGGCCTTCAGGCTCTTCTCAGAAGCTGTTAGCTTCAATGCTGCCTTGCATTGACTAAATGCGATGGCCAAAATGAAGCCACCGGGGCAACAAACCTCCGTCCCTATGATACGAATACACATACATATCCACACGCACGCACATATATATATATATACACATACATACAAAACTTTTAAAACGATATACACGAGTGCATACACATATAGAACTACATCATATACATATTATATATATAATTATATATAGTTATATAACTATATAATTACATATAATTATATATATATATTGTATTATATTATGTTATTATTATATTATATTATATCATTATTATATCAAACCAAGTTGTCTAGTGGAAGCAGGACCACCACGATGGGAGGCTTTTGACGATAGTTCGGGCCCTATGACGACGGAGTGGCTATGTCACTACGACGGCACGACAACAGCATGACGACGACATGACGACGAGGCCACGACGGTGCGACGACGGAGCGACGACCGTCATAAGCCTGGGTCCGGCGTCCAACCCCAGCTTATGACATGTCAGAAGCTGGATTCGGCGCCGAACCCGGGCTTATGACATGTCAAACCCGGGCTTGTGACGGTCGTCGCGCTGTCGTCGCATCGTCGTGCATGTCGTCGTCAAGCAGTCGTCATGCCGTCGGTCTATCGCCGTCGTGCCGTCGGCACATCGTCGTCGTGCTGCTGAGCTATCGTCGTCAGGCCGTCGGCACATTGTCGTCGTGCCGTCGTCTCCATCGTCATATCGACCCGTCGTGATTTTTCATATCCCACTATAGTGCATGTCTTTTGAATTATGCTAAATTAATCTAAATTAATCTAAATTATATTATCTTATTTTAAATCCATGCATTGAAGGGTGCCCTCATGGCTGTCTTGTTTCAAAGAGCCTTTCCTGCCTGAAAGCAGTCCCACAATGTCCCACTGGAGCTGCGGCCTCCTTTCTATCAGGCATTCCGGCAAGAAGTCCAGCCCACACGGCCACACGAATCCTGAGATGTGATCCAAACACCCCAGGGAAACAGCATGAAACCACAATATTCGTGAGGCAATTATTCTTGATGAGTCAAATCTGGTGCTCAACATCGGAGTTTTGCAAAGAGAACATGTCTTGGAAAAATAAAATAAAAACCCCAGCACCTGTACCGATCCAAGAGATGATCTAAGCAATCTAAGCCTTGACCTTCCGTTTGGTATCACAATTTCAGTGACCCAGGATGACCTAGGATGGACCTAGGTGTATATGGTGTATTCACAAGATTGCATAAGATTGCACAATGTTGGCAACTGCCACGATGTTCTGAGAGCCTGGCAAAGTGGCACAGGTGAAGTGCCAGTTCTGTTGCCGGTCCCTTTGGGCGTAACCGGAGGCCCGGCTGAGCCAAATGAGCGGAAGCAAAAAGTGCCTGAACGCATTGGTAGGAGACTTGGCACATCTTGGCGCAGTGCAAAAGCGGCTAAACGTGCCTTGAGACCGAAGAAGCTTGGAATCAATAGGAATGAAGATGAATCAGAGTGAAATTAAATTTGAAAGCGAAGAATCCTTTGCAACCCCTTTCCCTTTGCACATCCATTTCTTGCGTCAGCTGTCACAACTTCATTCTGTCCAAAGATGTCAGACTGTTCACAGCGTCGCCAATGGATTCGCTGAGCAGCATCGTCAAGCACCAAGCCTGAGCTGAAAGCTCAATGACAGATTCTCTGGAAATGTGGGATTTCTTTGTTCAACCTTTTGCACGGGGAATTCCAAACAATTGTCACAATGTCTTATACTATTTTGCAGTTCTAAATAGAATTCAGAAAGCGTCATGATTATCCTGGTACATTTTCCTGCAAAGACTTCAGCTCTTGCAACTGCCACCGCGCAACAACCCCAAAATAATAACAGCTGCTAAAAACAACAACGATGATGATATATGATACAATGCTAAATCATTCATATTGTATCGTACTGTTATTATTGTATATTATTGTCATTTACTATTGGTTGGTATTAGCCGCTATCAGGTACTATTACGGTTACTATATAATCTATGTATATAATTCATATGTGTGTTACTATATATTAAACTACAAACACAGGCTCAAGAGCAAGCGCGGCCACAGCCACGGGCACAACCATCACAACATATCACAACATATGACAACACGCTAACCAGGGAAATAAAAGATAAAAGCAAAATTAACTAACCCCCGTGTGTTTGGGTACAGGTGCAACAGTTTGTTTAAAAAAAGCTCTCTGCCATGGAGCTGGAAACTCCAACCGCGAGTTCCACGGCTGCCAGCAGCTCCTGTGTCAGCAGGGAAGAATTTAACAAATCAGGGAAGCAAGGGGAGATATATGTTTTATATATATATACATATATATATATATATTTATATTTAGAGAGAGAGAGAGAGAGATCCAAAGACAGCGAATGGCTGTAGTTGATCCAAGCTGTGCATTTATCCATGGAGTGCCTGTACCAGTTCCAGCGAGAAATGATGCCCTGAAACATCCAAGGACTTCAAAGTGCATCGCTCAAGGGCAGCTGGCAATTCTGCTGCCTGGGATGTGATGACATGTGATGGTAAGATATTTGTTAAGATATTGAATACATGCCAAGAGGATCCATGAGGCTTTAGATCTGACATGATCTGACATGATTATCATGATTTGATACGGTATTTTTATGTGGCAACGTCAAGTCCAACTTCGCGGCTGATCCGGAATGTTGCAAGAGATCAGTCCAGAAGGATCGCAACATATGTCATGGAAGAACAGCGGTAGCCAGAAATTCACAAGGCATACAGATGTCTATAGCGCGTCATGCTTCATAACTGCAACGTATGGCATCATTGCCACAGAATAGATGGAAAGCAGCTACTCTTATTCATACGTGGCTGGCTGCTTACTTCATATGGAGAACTGGTGAGAATTGAAAGTGACACTTCGTCAACAAACACCGGAATTTGTCCGAGCGACCCCCTTGTCACATAGAGAGGTTCTTCGAAGTGCCAGGTGGCGAATGGGAGTCCTGTCTCTCAGGGTGCGCCGATTCCGCAAGACAGCGGGCAAAATAAATCAGAATGATATGAATGATGAATGATTTCACTGAGTCTGTTCAGTCTTGACACAGAATCCTGGGTAGCAGTTGAAAAAGCTTAGAAAGGCTTGCTGACGTAATGTGGCGATTGTCATCAAGTGAAAGATTGACAAGTCTGCAGCTCGGCGCTGTTAGCATTTCGCAAAGCTGCTGGATGCTCTTGTCCTGCGACTTGCTTAACGCAATGGGCTGCTTTCAAGGGGAGTTGATGAAAGCTGGTTTCAAAGGACAGCCAGGACATCTCGTGCATTGAGAAGTGCTATATAAGACGTGCTAAGGGTTTACTTCCGCCCAGACTTCCTGTGAGATGATGTCCTATATCCCTACACTGACAGTGCCGTGACGCAACCAGGTCATACAAGGTCAATCCAGGTCGATATGCTCAAACAAAAACTGGTACTTGGATGCAGTTGGTTTCATTCAAACGTACATAACGTACTCAAACATCTCAAACCATCTTCAAAAATGAAAGCGGGTGGAAACCGGCGGAAACTGCATAACAACCCCCGTCATTCAATGTGTTCTCCGAGAGGTTAAGCATCTCGACCTGCCCTCTGGATACCAAGTCTGCAAGTCGCTGAATATCTTTGCAGCGGTTGCCGTGAAGATTGAGACTGGCAAGATGTATGGCGCGGGAACGCAAGGCACCACAGAGCGCAGCCACCGCATGGTCATTCAAACTATTTTCTGAGATGTTCAGGTGGGTCAAACTCTGTGGCAGTCCTTGCCATAAGGGTGACCAAGCATCGCTGGAAGGCCCAGGACATCTCAGGATGGTCAATGACTGCAATGACCGGACCTGTTGTGACTCCAGTGCACAAACTGCAGGAGGCGTGGTCGCCTCAGCTTGTGGATGCGGACCTAATTCGACATCTATGGCCTCAGTCGTCTCAGCATCGAAATCAAAGAGATTCATCTCAGACCCTTCAAATCCTTCAGGCCCCTCGTCATCCAGGATCTCAACTGTCTCAACTGTCTCAACTGGGAACATGAGGCTGTCGAGGGCACATCCCAGCAGCTTAAAGTGGTGGACCTCTAACGCCAAGGAGTCGAGTTTCAGGTTTCGAACTTTGGACATTTCAGGGGCAAGCGCTGCCAGACTTTGTTCCAAGTCGATCACGTTGCAAAGGGCGATCTCTCGCCACACCTCTCACAGTCACATCGACCCTCAACCAAGATGTCATCTCTATATATATATATATCATTGTATTTCTGTTGCTATGTCATGCTATGTCATGCTATGGCATGCTATGTCATACTGTCAACTACTTGGCAGGGAGCTTGTTAACTTTAGTCTGGACCCTAAACCAAGGGTCTATTTCGATTGTCTGTGTTACATGCCGTGAATTGAATTTTCCATCTTTAGGCCTTTTGCCTCCCCGTAAGCCTAGGGTCTAACAAGAAATTCCCAGCTCCCCAGGTTTTGACCATCAAGCCACCAACTTCACCAATGTTTCTTTTCCGGTCGCTCGATCGTTTCCCTGGGCCGTGGTGCCTCATGTGGGCAATGTGTGGAATCCAAGTTGGATTGCCAGGATGGTCCCGCGCAAGCAGTGGGGCCAATTCTGGGAAAACACGAGAGAAAGTTTATCAATTCTTTGTAGGATCTTTTTGCGACGCAGCACTGTTTCATACTATTTCCATTTGAGCCCACTGCTTTTCCCCGGTGCTTTCTGGGGGAACCTACAAGTCAGACTCCTCAGCCTGACCTTCCTCATCGTCCTCATCCTGAGCCAGCGCATTTTAGAACCCTGAGAGGAAATCAAATTAGAAAAGTTTGGCTATATGAGCCTGTTTGTATAAATTGGTTCCATCAGACCACAAGAAAAAGTCATTGATTTGGAGTGCAGAAAAAGGAACCAAGTGGTGATGAGGTATCTGCACAAAGGTGCAAAACATGTTTGGAATTAGCATCCCTGGTTTTGGTCGATCAAGAATTCCATTTTCGAAACCAGGTGATTTCAATGTCGCTTGTTTTGAAAATCTTCAAAGCCGAGGAAAAAGGTTGACGAGCAACTGCAGCAAAGTGCAATGATAAACGTATTGAACTATATGATTATATCCATCAACATCCCCAATTGAACTAACATGAGCCTCACCACTACCTCCAACCTCCCACATGACGCCAATTTTGTTTGGAAAGTACAACTGTCAGGTCAAGTTGTGATGAGCACCCTGCAGTGATGTGCCTCCTTGTTTCCCGCCCACCACCTCCATTTTTTTTAGATACCATTACTTTGGCTCAACGAAAACGTTTGGAAAAAGTGACGCTGGTCTATCGTTATCCTCCCCAGGTCAATGCATATCAAAATACTTTTGAAACTTGAAGGCAACCATTCTAGACCCACAGGTGCTGACAGGTGGCCAGCTACAACCCAACTTAGCCGCGTAGCCTTCCTTTGACATCCCTTCTACGTTCTGCATCCTTCTGCGCGTTCTTTAGAAGCTAACACAGTTGGTTCAACCAAAGAAGATCGCGGGTCTATCATCACCTTCCCCAGGTCAATGCGGGTCAAAATGTTTCTAAGCTTGAAGGCAACCACTCTAGACCCACTGGTGCTGACAGGTGGCCAGCTATAACCCAACTTAGCCGCTAAGCCATCCCGTGACATCACTTCTACGTTCTGCATCCTTCTGCGCATTCTTCAGGTACCAACACATTTGCTTCAACCAAACCGTTTGGAAAGAATGGAGGTGGTGGTCTGAAACAAGGATGCACATTACTGCAAGTTGCACATCACAACTTGACCTGACAATTGCACTTTCCAAGGAAAATCGGCATTCTGTGGGAGGTTGGAGGTAGTGGTGAGGCTCATGTTAGTTCAATTGGGGATGTTGATGGATATAGTCATATAGTTTATATAATACGTTTATCATTGCACTTTGCTGCAGTTGCTCGTCAACCTTTTTCCTCGGCTTTGAAGATTTTCAAAACAAGCGACATTGAAATCACCTGGTTTCGAAGATGGAAATCTTGATCGGCCAGAACTAGGGATGCTAATTCCAAACATGTTTTGCACCTTTGTGCAGATACCTCATCACCACTTGGTTCCTTTTTCTGCACTCCAAATCAATGACTTTTTCTTGTGGTCTGATGGAACCAATTTATACAAACAGGCTCATATAGCCGATAGCCAAACTTTTCTAATTTGATTTCCTCTCAGGGTTCATAATCTGGACTCGGGCCCGGGTGGGCATCAGCCATGACAAAGCAGCCACGCACAGAAATGCACAGAGTAGAGTTGTCGACGAACGAGCTTGAACCTAAATTTGGCTCTGGTCGGCTGTGATTTCGAGCAGTTTCAAGCCTGACAAATGGCGCTCAACATTCTGGAACCCTGCCAGACAAATAAGGGATTGATACAGATTTGAGATAGCTCATCGTCACCCATGATCAACACTCGGATTTCTTTGACGAATAAAGTTACAGAGATTTCAAATTTTAGTTATTGTTTCCAAGATGTTGATTCAAAAAACAAAACGTGCAAAATACTGGAAAAATGTGCACAAATTGGCATCTGCCATTTGCCACATGATAGCTCAACAAGCAGAGTGCCAAAGGTCTAAAGGAAGAAAAATATCAAATGTCTAAAGGAAGGAAATTGACCTCTTTAGACCCTGTGATGGGAACCCACAAGGTCTGGATACAATAGACCCTCAGTAGTTGACGGTATGCTACGTCTATGTTGTGAGCATGTTGTGAGCAGCAATCCCTTCCCCCTATTACTAAATCCCCTCGAATACTAAAAACTATGGTCCATCTCCAATTTTGGAAAATTTCAGGTTGGCCAATTTGACTTTTAATTGATCCCCTTTGGAAAACAATTTAAAAATAAAGCTACTATTTGTGGGTTTCACCCCCTAATAATAACAAAACTAGTCAACCCCGGGATGTTTTAATTAGGGTCCGACCGAAAATTTTAGTTTTTATAATGAGGTGTTTAATTTAATATTAGGGGGAAGCTTCAAAATCAAATGTTTGGCAATATTTTAATTGCGTTATATGTAAAAGAAATTTAATGGATTTTGAAATCGAACAAATAGTTTCTTTTTTATTAAGGGCTTAAATTGATTATTAGGGTTCGCTTTGGTTCCCTAATAATAAATACCCCCCCTAATACTAAAAACTACCTGAGGTGCTTATTATTTGGGGAGGGGGGGGTTAGTATTAGGAGGAGAGGATTATCTATGCAGAACGAACGATGCATCGAACCAAGGGAGGTAGTTTTTCCCCATGGGTTGCAATTCAAATCTTGCTACAGCATGCTACACCTCCTCGCCAGCAAGCGCTTGCTGCACTTCCAACGCGTTGTGGCAAACCAAGTAATTTCTCTCAGCATCCAGCTGCATGGCAGAATGGCAACAGGATCGAAATGGGATCGGGATGAATTGCGTGAAGTGTGATAGGGCCCTCTGGTACAGCCATGAGACTGCAAGTTGAATGGATGGACTTTTAGCATCTTTTAGCAAGGCAAAGCGCTATCTTGAAAATGCTGCTGGAACATGTCTTGCCAAGCCTGCTGTGTCTGCGAATATGTGTCAATGCATGCACATTAATTAGTCATCAATTGCCTTGCCCAGTTGTGTGCCGTTCTTGCGCTTGCTATATTTGCTGGGGACTCCAAATGATGCAAACGTTGTCTGAAGCTAGCACATGGACTGGCACCAAAATCCATGATATGATATGTGTAATGACAGTGTAATGATGTATTTAATGGAAGTTCCGCGAACTTCCGAAAAATCGAGATGAAACACCACATTTCATGGTGGTCTCACCATGTCTCACCCACATCCCAAGGCCAACAGTTTTTCACCGTCTTCTGCTTCTGCATTCTGCCACTTCATGCCACTTCCGATTCTTCATGACCATTTTCCGCCCGCAGGTCGGGAAATCTCACGTTGAAATCTATGGGGCTGGCTTAGGCTTGGCACAGCCGCCCAGCGTCACCAAATCGGGGAATAGGCGGCTCAGCTCCTACAGGACACGCCAATGCTTCCAAAATGTTCCGAAATTGCACGCACACGTCAGAAACTGCAGAAGCAATCGAGTTTTGAGGCAAGCAATCCTGAATTATTCCAAAAATACATGGGAAAATATTCAGTCAAAACTTCAACTGAGCATGACGGTGTGACCTGCGAAACGCACCTATCAATCTTATAGCAATGCCTTTCGGATCAGCATTTGGCCATTCTCTATTAGTCGATGCAAGGATTTTGGCAGCGATATGCAGTCCACCAAGGACATCGAGGGCTTGCCGTACACGATTTTGGGCTTCTCCTCGATGGCCTCGTACTCAACCTGGCACTAATGCAGACTTCCATGGGCAATGGCTGTCCAAATTGGATCTGAAAATGGGGCACCCGAAAATCCCATAAAATACAATGGTGTATCATGAATTTCGCCTGATAACTCCCATTCCGTAGATTTCTGTAGGTACAATACCAAGTATCCACCGTTCTTGAACAAACCCAGAAATCTTCCAAGGCTTTGACATTGACAGGGAAAACAATGAAACACCATTTTAAAAACATTGAAAACCGATGGGAAAAGAGAAAATGACATAAAATGACAAGATGAGAACGGCCTTTAATTTACCAATGTCTGGCGCAAGCTTGGACAGCTCATTCAAGCGGTCAAGCAAGGACTCCTCGATGGCCTCCAAGGGGAAACATAGATAACATAGGGAATGGATGGGAAGCACATGGAAGAACCGAATCCTTGTGGTTGGAATAAAGATGAATAAAGATGATAAAGGTATGGATGCAAAAAGAGATGTAAGTTATTGTATTGAGTTCTAAGTCAATAGTTATAGGAATTCAGAAGGATTCACGGGGGCAAAAATAAATACAAATGTCAAATTATGTCAAATTAAAGACTTCGACAAAAAATGTAGGGAACGTCAAGGCACAGTACTTGGGTCGTTTGAGTATCTTCAATGATCTTCAATGAGCATGGCAGCATGTTACTATAAAATACTAGGTACGAACACCTACGAACAATCAATGCAATGCATCAGCGACAGCCTTGATCTCGTCCGTCTCGGTGGGCTCAAACTTCTCCGGTGTCTTGGTGGCCTCTTCGAGAAACCCCAGAAAGTCTTCCTGGCATCGCATAGCGACCCTCCCTTGACATCCCGTGACTAAGTGCTACAATGTGCTACACAAACGGAATCAAAGAATCAAACAGCGAATCAAAGAGTTGGTCAAATCTTAATAAATCTTAAGTCAAAACAAGTCGAGGAAACCTTCTCCATGTATTTCAGGACCAGCTTTTCAGCAACTGGTTCTTTGTTTTTGAAGATGATGCCACCACCCTGCAGCAGGAAAAGTGAATCGAACCATCTCGAAACATGTCAACCCTGGAAAACTACACCTTTCTCAATGCTTTCTCAGCTGCCACGGACATGAAACTAAGTGAAGCCCATGCCGTGATATGCTACCACATGCTGCCCCTGTATGTTTGACATTACACATCATTGCACCGACAGCACATGTCGAATCATGTGGCAGAGAGCGCAGTGATGCGCAGTGCCTCATCAATTTCCCCGAGTTTCAGGGAGTTGAGCTTTGTCTGAGCCTCTTCGAGGCTGTCAAAGCACATGATCTCCATTCCGGTTGCGTCGAAGACTGGTGGAATGTAGACCTTGGCGGCATGTATTAACACTTAAGGTAAGATAATTGCAGTCAGATGATGTATATATGAATATATCATGCACCATTCAAGGCAAAATGCAACGCCGCAACACCCTTTGCAGGATTAACAAGATGTGCGGTCTGAGAATTTGTACACACATTTGTTGCAAAATTGTAGCTGTATCGACTCCATGCTGTTTCCTTCCTACACAAGCTATATATATATGCATATATATATATGCGATATGGTCATATTGTCAAATGGGGGTGTCTGAAACTTGTTGATACCGCGATACTCCAAAACTTGCCAATTTAATGGGGAAAGTATGGGAAATGTTGATACGCCATATGGGATTTGTGGGTACCCTAATTGTGGAGAAGCCCAAAAAGATCCAAACAAACGGGCCACCAGCTGCCACAACGATGGGTCTGTAGCACGTTGTCGCTCTGGCTCCTCCAGGAGTGGCTCAGGAGGACCATCACAATAGACCTCATCCGATTGGTGCTTCGCAAATCTTCCCAAGACTAAATGGCAGAACGTCAACATTCACTGCTGCTTTTGCCTCATGACAAGAAAGGATGTGAGGTCCCCGAAGGTTGCACCAGAAATCTCAAGCAATTGAAATCTGAAGTGAACGCCAAACAACCATATCAGCCATTCAATGCCAGCCTTAATGTTTTGTGGAATATATTTGAAGAGGACACACCGCAAAATGTGCAATTCATAAACGAAAGGAAGCCGATTTTTTTCTGCCAAGTCGCTCCACCTACTACTTGAGACAACGTTTGTGGTGGGAGGCCACATGCTTCCCAAGTCTCAAGAAAAGCCTGGCCATTCCGGGAAATTGCTGCATGCAAATCTTGCCTTGTCGTGGTTTCATGTGGTTTCTCTATGTTTGTCTTCTCTTAGAGCCTGGTGGGCTTTGCTGGCCTCAGATTCCGATTATGACTGCTTTTCAACTCACTGCCTCAATGCCCATGCATCGAAGTCAATTTAAGATATTTATATATATAAGTATATCGAAATCATCCTAGGCTTCCGGCCCGCGGGTTCTTCAACACCTGTGGAAGAAGCGCCTCCACCCGGTCCTCTTTGAGGAACATGCCTCAACACTAGCAGGGATTCAGACATGGGAAGGCTACATTGAGACTATCTGGACATGCTGACACAAGGTGCCAATGTATATAGGTGCTACATGGTGCTAAAGGCCCGGGCCAGAGACAAATGCGCAGAGGATGAGTGGTCGGATGTAGGCAAACACGTGCAAATTAAATGGTGATGCAGCTGTGTCTTGCTATTGATCATTTTGATGTGTGTTTGGCCACATGCGCTTTAGACTGTATAAAAGCTTGAACCGCCTGGGTCACTGGCCAGCCATGCAATCTTCATCTTGCTGTAGCTCATCAAATTCATCAAGCGTTGCTGATCATGCAGTGCTGCATAGTGCTGCACTTCTTAATCGCCTTTTTTGTTCAGGACATTTTTCTGCTCTTGCCTTTTTGAGCTTGGAGATCATATTGCACGCTGCCCACGTTCTACGATGAAGGGAGACTTATGGGAATCTTTTGGAGACTTCTTGTTGCGACCAAAAGCTGTTGACAAGTTACCAAGGCACCTCGCCGAGCATGGATCAGGATGGAAGAACAAGCAGTAGCGCGCAGCAAGCCACAAGGAGGCAGAGTTCATCAACATGGCTGTCAAAGACTTTTGAGATTGTGCGAGGCTTCAACGCTGGGAGCAGCTGCATCACTTCAACAGCTTGTAGATTCGCAGCGATGCCATAAACTTGCCATAAACATCCATAAACCATCGCAGCGACATGGGATCAAATCGCAAAGCTGGTTCGGCGCAATTGCTCTTGAACGACACTGCTATCCCCACCCATGTGAGTATGGCCCCAAGTAACAAGGCTTCCATCTGAACAAACAGCTGCGAAAGCTCCGGCTGATGCATGGATCCGCCGCACATCTTGCAGCTGATGCTGCACATCTCGACTGTCACCTCCAGCACCTGAATAACCCCAGGTGACAACACTTCCATTTCCCAAGATAGCTGCAAAAGCACCTGCTGAAGCCTCAACTTGTTTTACATCTCTGAGCTGGTCGTACACATAGCTGTCATCACCACCTCGTTTCGGATCTCCCCAAGTGACGACCGTGCCATCTTCTTTGATTGCAGCAAAGGCTCCTTTCGAAGCCTGGATCTGATGTACTTCAGTCAAGTCCTGCTGGACACCAGAGCTATCACCTCCAAAGCGCTCCTCGCCCCAAGTTACCACAGACCCATTGGCTAAGATAGCGGCGAAAGCTCCTTCTGTGGCTGAGATTTGGGCCACACCGTGTAGGAGATCTTGAACGGAGCTGCTGTCGCCTCCCACCCGGGCGTAGCCCCATGTGATGACTGACCCATCAGCCCGGATTGCTGCGAAAGCTCCCTTGGACGCTCTGATGCAGTGCACCCCGACCAAGTCGGCCGTCACAGACCTGCAATCACCACCTCGTTTTGGATCTCCCCAGGTCACCACTTTGCCATTGCTGAGTATAGCTGCGAAAGCGCCTTTGTTTCCTTGAATTTGTTGCACGTCTCGCAACTGTTCTTGGACATGACGACTGTCTCCACCATGACTAGGATGGCCCCAAGATACTACTGATCCATCATTTCGAACAGCTGCGAAAGCTCCATCTGTCGCTTGGATGTGCCACACATCGTGCAACTCCTCCATGACCTGGCTGCTGTCTCCGCCGGAGGGGCCATCACCCCAAGTGATGACCCGCCCATCGCCCCGAACAGCCGCGAACGCTTTCATGGAAGCCTCCACGATTTGCACATCGGTCAGCTCATCCTGCACTGCACTGCTATCTCCGCCCCAGTTGGGCATGCCCCAACTCACAACACTTCCATCACTGCGGATGAGGGCGAAAGCTGTGGCTCTGTGGCTTGGAACGATCCATGCCTTGCGCAGAATGGCGCTGATGGTGTCACCATTTTGAAGCCCGGCATCTTCCAAGGTGCATGATCCCTTCCTGGCAGCTGCATGCCGATGGCTGAAACATATTCAAACTCGTCACAACTTAATTCTCTTAATATATTTCTACTCTCAAAATCTCTCAATCATCTCGATCAAAAACCGTCAGGAAAGCTTCAAGAACTTAGCTAAAGTCTATATTCGCATATACAGGAGGAGAAAAAATGAAAAATGATGAAAAATGTAAACACCGTGAAGTCAGTGAAGCTGAGCTTCAACAGCCGGCCATCAGTTGCCACCAGGTTGCTGACTTTGACGCCTAGTTGCTGCTGCGTCTGCAGTCTCAACTCATTCACCGTCTCATCTCTGCAAATCTGCAACTGCACACTCTCACCACTGAGTAGGGCAACTTGAAGGGAGATGCCTCCATCGCCATCCATGCAAACTGACTCACAGAGTGGTCACAGAATCATCACTATCTCAGACTATCTCACAGAATGTAGAACGTGGAGATCTCTGGGCCATTGCACAAGAATGCAAAAGAACGCCCGGCTTGGCCGGATTGCACCGCAAGCCTTATTTCTACGGGCCAGCGCACGTGTCCTCGACCTACGATGTGTCTTCTTAGCTCATGCGTGTTGAAGATTTTGATGGACCAAGAAATGTGTGTAAGCTCGTGTGATATGTTTGAGCCAGTGTGCAAGACAAATGAAGGATTGGTGATTGCACCTAGCGCTGAAACACGCTGGAACTAGATACGAGCAGTACCTGCGTGAGCGACGCTTTTGAGCAAAGAAGCACTGCAGCATTTGTACCCAAGGCACCTCTGAGTTGGAAAGCACGAAGCAACACGCAAAGAGATCAAAGAGATCAAAGAGATCAAAGAGATCAAAGAGATCAAAGAGATCAAAGAGTAACCAAAATGAGTCAAAATGAAACCAGCAAATTCATGCACTCGGTTCATCTCGTTTCATCCTTTTTAAACGTCAGTGCAGCTACAAATGTGTCTGCAAGAGGTGGATCGAGCTCGGCACAATTCGAGTGCTGGTAACTATAGCTCAAAGACACCCAGAGCCGTCCAAAGATGTCAACGTTGTCATGCATTGGTGCCATCGCATTCCATCTGGAAATTCTTGACAGCTTTGTAACCTGTCAGAAGAACCGCACATCTGCAAAAAACAATGTTTGCAAGTCTCCACACCGCAACAGATTTGCAAGGGTCAAAACATGATACGCATAGTACGGTATGGTACGGTCATCTATCCCATAATGGCAATCCTTGTATATACAGTGGGCATATGAACCCGTATAAATCCCTATCAATGACTTGATGACTATTCACAATTCGTATGGCTAGATAAACAAGCTTTTCACCATTGCATATATTATCACACTCGATCTGCGTCGGTTTCAAGTTGCAAAATGTGCAAGTCAATCATACTCAATCAGGGCACAAGAGTTTGCGGTTCCTGCTGCACTCTCACCTCAATATCAGGTTCTCTTGCTGTGCATTTGGTATTGCAGCCTCGCAACTTCATTGAGTGATGCTTCCACCGAACGTGGTCTGAAAAACGCTAGCTTTCGCATCAGATCCGCCACGCTGAACGCGGGGATCCCTCAGTTGGGACTTGCACTTGAAGAAGTGAGCGCTCAAGTCATATTCAAGCCCACACTGTTGCCATTCTGTTGCCATCTTGCCACAGCTACTGCTAATGCGCCAAGTGGCTATACTTGGCAAGTTGTGTGTGTGCGTGCGAGCATACTATTGCAGATGGGAGAATCATTGTTGCATGGCCTCAACTGGGCGCCCGGGCCACACGAATAGTCAAATCCCGACTCTGACTATACCTTCTGGTGACTCTTGCGTATCTTGCGTATAGCCTGTCTTGAATCTCCAAGCGCTTTGAAATGCTCTTCGCTTGGAACGTTGGTCTCACGTTGTCTCTGCGAGGGTGTACATTGGGTTCTTCAGCATCACTCTCGCTGCACGGCAGGCTTGCTCCCATGCTCGCCACGCTTGTCTGCGTCGAACAGGAGTGGTCAGAGGCCTGCTTCAAGTTTTGGTCATCAGAACCTGCACGCAGAACGTCGAAATGTGGGCACCTAAACCATGCTCGAACCATCAAAACAATTCAAAACGATTCAACATGATCAACATGTACAATGAACACTGCAGGTGAAACAAGCGAGTCCCGTTCCGGATAGAAACCTTCCAAATCCGCTAAGACTTTCAAAACTTCCTCCATCTGATGCACTGAGAGCGGCTGGCCCTTCAGCAGGCCGAGTTGCTCCTGCATCGGTGACCACCCACTCAACATCACCCTGACCACCAGCATCACCTGGCCCCATCACAAGAATAGAAGCACATACCCATTTCGAATCTTAATTCTTGGCCCAAAAAGGGTGTCGACAACTGCAAATCGGCAGATCTCCTTCATCCTGTCCTTGGCAACTGAATTGCGAAACTATGTATGCATGCGACTGCATGTGTACATGATGACATAATCATAATTGAATATAATTAACTATATAGTTCGAATGTAAAAGTTGGTTTTACATGGTTTTACTACTGCTATATTGTGATTCTGATCAACCTTGAAGTTCAAACACTGAAGGGAAGGATGACCTCTCTGGGTGCCAAGCCCATTCCAACAGCTGCTGCTGCGCAATCATTACCACATCCTGTTCTAATCCTAAATATCCTAAATCATTTCTCAGCCACGCGAACAACGAAAGAAAACCCACGGAAAAACATGAAAAGCCTATGCGTGATGCGTGACCCACAGGGTGAACGGCAATGATGGAAATGACAGCGCAAGAGAGCTCTGGGGTGTTGAGAATCTCAGTTTTCTCATAGTCTCTCATGTTTTCTCTCACGTTCTCTCTCATGTCACATGATGAAAGTATATGAAAATGATTAACATCTTTTTGTTTCTGTCCGTGCTCTCACTCTTGTCCTCTGGAGTACAGTTCTCCTCTTCAAGAACCTCAGCTGCAAATGTCACAAATCACCCGGCGCATTCCCCCGTTGACTCGGTACTTCTGCAAATCTGTCCCCAAAAAAAAGGATAAAAAGACATAAACAGATATATATATAGATATATATATATATATGTGTGTGTGTAGATATATAATTAAAAGACTATAGACATTCTGGACATTTCGCAAACGCGTGCCTGTAGGGCCCTCACATGGCTTGCAGCAGCAAATTCCAAGGTTTTTGCATCCTCAGACATGGCTTGACAAACACGCTGGCCAGGGCAACAACAAGAAGTCGAATTGGAGAAATAACAATAGCA